CCACCTGACATGCGCAGTGGCGGGCAGGCACTAGGGGCACAGGGTTACAACGGGAGCACGTGGAAGTTAAATAAATAAGTACCTACATAAAATAAAGAATTATAATAGAGATGTAGAGCTTACAAAGAGCGCCCTGTCCACTTAATTACTCCTAGATCGCTCTCACTCTCTCATCACATTTTTCATTCACGGCCACTTGTTATATAATTATTTTGCACCTAAACTAAATTCATGCACAAATTTTAGACGAACGCAAAAGAAAAGGTTTAATTACTCCTATTGTAATTATCGTGCGTACTGGCCAAAACATGAATAGACGCTATTAAAAAAATAAGAAAGTTTTGGGATGTTTTTTTTTCGAATTTCACTTGTTTTTATGTTCTTAATTATTATGTATTAAAGCGTTTCATACTGCGATAAATTTCACCATCTTTTGATTTGAGTTTAATTTATGTTTTGTTTAAATTTTTCCCTTGTTTATCGTGTTGAGTGTGTCTTGCCACTGCAAATAAAGTTTAGATAAGAATACCAGATCTAAACTTAACTTTAATTAAAACTGGACAAGAAACATGTGTCCCAAACATTACAAGTATCAAAACTTGTGTTACATCCAGAGATGTCTGCAGATCGGACAGTGTACGATACTCGCATGACAGGGACGTAAACGGAAATGTGTGGCCATAAATGACTGGTTTATTGTTAACAACGTGCTTATAAACCGGACCTTAAATTCTTCTGAGGTAAAAACGAAGCCCCAAGAAGTTGGATGGGTTACAGTAAGCACAAAAACTGTAAGAAAAGACTAAAATCGGCGGGAATAAATTTACACTTTACCAGAGGCCCCTCCTTGCCACATGTCATCGAGTAGCTTAAGTAAATTTTATTCCCAATCACGAAAATTGGAATGACGAAACTTTGACTCAAGTTCTATTCACAGATGAGTCCAGATTTTGCCTGAAGCCAGATGATGAAATTATTAAAGTGTGGAAACTCCCGGGAAAGAGGTGCGCTCAATGCAACATCATTGGAAAAGGGGAATATGGTGGAGGATCAGTTATGGTATGGGGCACGTACGAAACTCGGCGTCATTAGGAATTAGTCACTAACAGTGGCACAATTTGTGACTGTGATTTTGGAAGAAATTGTAGTGCCATTTGCCCCTTTTATATAAGATAGTTTTGTTTTTATGCATGTTATTGCGTGCATACTACGACCGTAGTTGGACGTTGAAATCAATGCTATGGGGTGGCCAGCGCGCTCGTTCGACTGAAACCTCATAGAGCATGTATAGGAAAGGTAGGAAGACAAATTAAGAAAGGAAATGCTGGCCCCGCTAATTTGAGAGAACTTAAAAATGCATTTCAGGAACAATGGAACGCAATTTCTCGAGATTATATTGATAATGATCAGTTTGCATATCAGTTTCTCTGCGTGATAGACTCAGAAATGAGGCTATCCGCAGTAAAAACAGAGTGAATGACATAGCCCAACGGATTAGCAAGCTGAAGTGGCAATGGGCCGGCCATATAGCTCGAAGAACCGATAACCGATGGGGAAGAAAGGTTCTCGAGTGGCAGCCTCGTACCGGTAGGCGTAGTGTAGGGCGACCCCCCACTAGATGGAGTGACGACCTGGTAAGATATGCAGGAAGTCGATGGATGCAGGTGGCTCAGGACCGTGCTTCGTGGCATTACTTGGGGGAGGCCTATGTTCAGCAGTGGACTTGTGAAGGGCTGTAATGATGATGATGATGATATTGATAATTTTGTTAGGAGTATGCCAAGGAGACTGAAAGCAGATCGGAGAGCTAGAGGGAGCAACACTAGGTACTAATTATAAACCATCTTATATTGTATTATTGCCTTTCCTAGGTATTTATGTTAATAAAATATTAAATCTTTCATAAAGAACGAAAATGGTTTTTCCTGTAACATTTTTCGTTGTTTCTTTATTTGATTATTTTTCTCATCTGATCATTTGATTTTTCTACGTTTTATTAATATATATATATATATATATATATATATATATATATATATATATATATATATTATATATTAATAAACTTCATTTTCACTCATTCATTTTTTGCGTTCTTCGTAATTTGTCCATGAGTGTATAATATTATAAATTATAATACAGTTTATTTACATAATAAGTACATATATATAGCGCCGATGAGATGCGAGCCTATGGTGCTGTCGATATTTAATCCGCCTCTGGCCATGCGCCTGCTAGTATCTCAAGTATAAAACAATAATACTCTCTATCTCAGTTCTCAGCACATCAAAATATGGATGAATTATTCTTCAAAAAATGTGCATCTATAACTGTCACGAATAGCAGATAACTTCTCCACTGTAAATTCTTCAAATCCACCTGTCGGCCAATCGTAACTGTTATCAGGTGCACTATAAAATGGCGGTAATTTATAAATAACTGTAAGAACAAAGCCTCAAGCACGTTATAAAACTTCTATCTTTTAACAAATTATATTGTAAATGCTAGTTTACATAAATGAAAACATTTATACATTTATATTTACAGTCTATCAATATCCACAGCTGAACAGTTGTCTCTTGTCTGTGTGTATTGTCTTACATCCTCCATGGCTGCCGTGCTTCACAAGCGAGGTGGCACTGCAGTTTTTTATTATTCTGAGTAGTAATCAGGAAGACCCTGCTGCCTATCTTCAGTTTCATTTCCCTCTGTCACGGTTTACAGCACCCACGTGATTATATGAGATAGTCGATTTATTTACGCCGCTACTAAACGGCGATGGCGGAGAAAGGTCTAATTATTTAGGTTGTATAAAGAGGGAAAGCAAGGATGAGCATTATTAATGTTTCGGTATAGGGGTTTTCTGTAAAACAGATGCGCCAGTCGAAACAGCGTAGTAGGAGTAGCCGGTAGACGGAACAGTGCCAATAGTAAGTTGCCATAAGACTCGTAAATATTTAATTTTTATGATAGGTATTTAAAAATTAATAGCATGGTAATTAAACAACTTTTATGCTATTACTTCGCCATACAGAAAATTCTTTGGCCACAGCTATTTCAGCCTCTTTTTCGTGCGGCCTTTGGCGACATCATAAAACTTTTAGAATGTCTTATATTCAAAGCTGCTTAATAAATCATTACCTTTTCAGCAATACGTTGGTGATATTCTAAGTAGCTAATTCTATTACGCTAGGAAACTGACTTCAAACAACAAAAATACAATAAATCGAATTCACGCTTAATTCGGGATTGAATCGAATATGAAAAATAACTTCAGCAAAACTCTCATTATGCAACCCTTTTTTCAGTTGCAAATTTCTTCAAGGGTACTTGTCGAAGAGATGCGTATGAAAAAGGAATATGTACAGAAGCATACAAAGTTCCAAGGAAAAATCAAAAATAGTCATGTTGCAATTATAATACTATATTTATATATTAATTTTACTTTAATTTTGATGCTGATTTACTTGTCCGAAGTCCAACCGTTTTAAAAGTTTGCGCCCGGCAAGAGGACGTAAATATCACAGATTAATATCATAGATACTAGTTACCGCCTAATTAATAATATGGATTATTACTACGTGAAATTTCCCTATTTTACTATCTTTTGTAACACATCATAATCCGTCTGCCTAAATATGTTATCGGCCGAAGTCCATGATTTTCAATTTCTTTCGAAAAAACATTATTACTATTTAATTAAAATGTTGCGTTATAAATAGATAAATCATGTGGGAAATGTAGAGCCGTGTGCTGTGTTAACTGAATAACTCACAGCGGCATCGACGCTTGCGTCGAATATTGTTAACAAAGCGGATGACGTCGCGCCGGTGCCTGGCACTAACCGCGCTATTTTACACAAGATAACCTAACTGTTATGTTAAAAACACAGATAGTAAAACAAATAAAACACAGAACATTTGTAACTTTAAAAAAATATTATTTTAATATAATAAAAAATCATCTATAATGAGTACTAACAATACTAAATATAAGCATAACTGTAATCAAAAATGCAACATGTTACTTTAAATGTAAGTAAATATATATGATAGGTAATATCGTTGGCGTATCAGTCCATAAAAATTAATTAGTAAATCATAATAATGTAATTTAACTTTTATTAAAAAATGGATACTAGTCGACTTCAAGAATTAACTACTAGAATTTCGTCTAAATAGTTACAATAAATCCTTCATCACTTATTCACCCTTAGAGATGTACATTTTGTTTTAAATTGATATGAGCCCTATTTATAGAAAATAACGGCCATCAAAAACGGTTTAGCCGTTTCCAAGAAATCGGTAAACATAGGTGTGACATGGACATTACACATGACTTTCATTTTGTCCATGTTCATCTTAAGACCTATCCGTTGGGAGACACTATTTAGGTCATTGAGCATAGTGCTTAGGTCCTACAGCGATTCTGCCAAAGTACTATATCGTCGGCAAATCGAATACCGGCAGGCGAAGTGTAGGGCGTCCCCCCACTAGATGGAGTGCGGCCTGGTAAGACATGCAGGAAGTCAATGGATGCAGGTGGCTCAGGGCCGTGCTTTGTGGCATTCCTTGGGGGATGTCTATGTTCAGCAGTGGACTTGTGAAGGGCTGTAATGATGATGATAAATATTGTAATATAATAACACATTTACACTATCTACCATATAAATTAGGTGTATAGGTACATAGTAACTTTACTTGTTACTAAATGCATCACAATAATACCTATAGATTTCACATGTGTTTCCATCTTATCCCTCAACACATTAATAAAAATAACGTCAAAATTATTATTAAGCGTAAAAATTTTTAAACAATCACATAAATAGAATATTGGGTTATTTTACATCATCGTTCACAGGATATTTTTTATTTCCCCTATTGGCTACCTAGCTAACAGGCTAACTAGCAGTTGGCTATCGACGACCCAGCGGAATGAAAAACAAAATTTTTAAATATTAGAATACATGTAATTGGTTGTGGGTAGAATGTAATTATTTATCGTATACCCTTATGGTACTTATACGAAATATATGCGTCCGCGCCGTGAAGAATACCAACTATGACGCCAATATACTGAAACAAACATAACGTTAAGTTTATTTTTATTGCTTATAAAATTTAGAACAAACCTAAGCTTATGTTTATAATTTTAATTAAGGTGACGTGAGGGTAATATGGTTTCCTTAAGCTTTGCCGTCGTATAAAACCCAAACTAGGAAGAGTATAGAAACAAAAATACAATTTTTTCTTAATTAGTATAAGTACTAACTATAACTAACATATTAAGAAAAAAATAACAAAGAAGCTTTGGCAATAATTATGAACACTGAAAAATCAACCTAATATGTAGAACTAACTACACTACACAGTACTAAAATCGACGAAAATATTTACTATAATGTCAACTGTCAAAATGACGTCGGTGAAGCAGCATCATTCTGACCCTTTAATATTTGATTGACTGATGAAGAGCTTTCGTATCAACGAGTCATCTATGCAAACGAGGCTAGTTTTTTTATTAATTAGAATGTGACCATGTTAACCGGGTGACCATATTACCTTCACGTACTATAATATAAAGTAGCATCCGTATTTATAGGTCATACAGCCCCGCTACAGCGAATTACTGACATTTTACTGCTAACAAAGCATCCCATCTTAGTCCTCCAGGATAACAATGCATCTGCATTTTCATTCTTAATCGAGGATATGTATCTACACCAAAAATCCACTTACTATCAAATTGGCTGTGTGCTCGTTTGTCACTTTCTACAAGAAATTTTGGCCCAACAGTGATTCGAACGCTATAACTGGAACCCACATCATAGTACCCCAATAATCTGACCCATAGCGAATACGTTCAAACTAATGTATATGGGCTAATTATCATGGATGTTTAAACTCAATACTTTGCTAAATAAAATTATCTTGTCATAGACATCTTTAACATGTCTTAGCTAACAAATTAGCTAGAAAATTAAACTTTTAATGATATTTTAATGATATATATAATTTCCGCATGACGTTTACCAAAATGAGTATTTAATTCATCAATACACATTTTGAAGTCGATTTTTACGTATTTTTTACAAGTTTAAAATTTTTGATCGTTTTGAATGGGCTAGTGTTGTCTAAATTATAACATTACAGACTTTATATATTTGGAATTCTTTTCATCAAAAAAGCATTATATTCAGTACAAAATTGGCAAATACAGCACGTAACTTATGTACTTTTCTTTAACACAATCCTTTTTAAAGTCGGCTAAAATTAATAACGGATATCAGTATCACTTACGTATACCGCAGTCATCGCAGGATACGCTGCGTACATGCTGATTAGCGAATATCTTGGATACAAATATATGTTAACAGCTATACCCATGTAGGAAGAGGCAGATAAGTACATGAAGCACGCCACCGAGTTAAAGACACATTCCTGAAACAAGAGATAAAAAAATTAAAATAAGTTGTGTGAGAGAGTGATATAAATATCTTTAATAAAAGTGTGTGTACGGCGGAAATAACATTATGTTGCATTCTCAACTTGGTAACACGGGAGAATAATGGAAAATTTTAACAGTTGCAAAACTTCATAATCATCATTATTACAGCCTATCAATATATCCAATTGTGATGTAACCTGCATGCCTATGAAATAAGATAAAAAATATTTCGAAGACATGAGAAGTTCGACAACACGCATTGGTGCAGCGCTGCGAACACTACCGTGCTCTAAAACTTCCTCATAAATGAGAGGAGACCTGTGATCCAGCAGTGGGCCGTATATAGGCTGTATGTCGTCTCCAATGACACCCATGGGACTATATCGAGTAATGAAGTAATCATTATCACAATTCGCAAAACTTGTTAAAAATGTTTTCTTTTTAAATAAATTAAGGGAAACATTTATAAATATCACTCATTTACAGTCTCTTTGAAGTCTGTTGATCACACTGCTGATCACAGGTATCTCCCATACAATATACATTGCATCACAGTGGGGATTTTGTCATAGCTTGCAAGCGTATTGTTTTCAGTTTCGCTTTGGCGCCTCATGTTACACACGGGATAATCGTATCCTCATAGCAAATCTAACGTATAATAAAAGAATGTCATACTAGTGGATTGACGTCGCACACCTCTTATGCTGCTGCCCGGCGCTGATCTAGGAGTTTTACGTCTGACGTAAAGATTTCTCTGACATTCGTAGTCGCCCCTTAGGACAACCACGGACGAAATGGGGTGATGTTATGTACAAATATACCCTATAGCCTATCACAAGTCCTTTGCTGAACATAGACCTCCCTCATAAATCGCCACAAAGTACTCAGCCACCTGTATCCATCGGCTATCTACGTGTTACTTCATCAAATTGTCACTCCGTCAAGTAGGAGTCACCCAACACTTGGCGTGCCGGTATGGGGCACCCACTAGAGGTTTTTTGTTTTCCATGTGTTGGTGATCTTCGAATGGCCAGCTCATTACCACTTGAACTTTGATTATCGTAATCGCCACGTTCGATAGTTGAATAGCAGAAAATACCAATAACAATAACGATTGGCAAGGTAAGATTATGTAGATTAGTCACGTAGTCACGTACTCGTAGATACTTTATGTTTTTCCTTTCTCTGACACGAAACATTAAATAAAAATAATTTTATAATTAATTGAATGTTTAAGAAATTATTTTGACATTGCAATAACATAATGGCCTTGAAATGTATTTGCATGGCTAAATGAATATTCATATTTATTTATGCATTCGGATAGACCATCAAACTGATTTTGTATTATACCTATATACCTATGTCTGTTCTTTGATATATTTTGAAGTGGAAACATCTTCGAGCTGGATTCCACAGGATACCTTTTATGGTAATAATATTGCGAGGCCAATGCGAGGCTGACAAAAATAATAAGGAGTTTGTTCGACGGACACTATTTCGAATGTGTTACCCTAGTAGTGGCCGACAGATTATTATTTGTTTTTAATATTTATTTACATAAAATCAGGCGTTGCTTTGCAAAAATTCATTTTCTTACAAACGAGTAAGATGGATTAGCTAACATTTGCGTGTATTTTTTTTAAATTTCATTTCTATAAAGTCCATTCACCTGGTGACTGCTTCTGTTTAAAGACTTGACCGAAACCGTTTTTGTTGTTATCGCTATCGTTGTTACATGTACTAATAACTAATAAGAAAACATAAAACAAACGATTCAAATTACAAACATGGCAATCCTGCCTTTCCATGTTTTTTTTAGATATTTTAATTTTATCGACTATATCATTACTTATCTTTGGATGAGATGTCAAGATATGATACAGGTTACTTGAGTGTGTTGATCAGTTACAGGATTGCGTGATAATCACGAATAAGGTGGCCAACCGTTCCGTAATAAGAGTTGTTATCCTAAATTGCAATAATATTTTAAAATATTGCACCAAAATGACTAATTCATGTCCCGCATTCCTAAGTTATTTAACTATGAAATTCTCAGATTTTCAAGACAGACCAATGCACTGTATGCTTTACTGATTTGGTGTAATGTGAGTGTAAGAGAAACACAAAACTAAGAAAATCAGATTTGAAATTGATAAACGATTTGAAAAATAAATAATAACTTTCCTAAGCTACGTTTGATTGCACTAAGCACGACATCCCGTCAACACACACATCCCACACAAACGTCCCGCATTTACTTTTCATGAAGTTAGCCGCCTTAATCACGGGAGCATTAAAAGGCGAAGCTAACTGTTCTTTGTTGCTCTTACTCTGAATTCCTTGTCATGTTTGCATAGCCGTGTAATGCGAATACTGTCAACGTATGCCTTTTCCATGAAATACAAACGTATAGCCGTTTAAAACTTATATTCATAAGTTAACAGCCATTTTATACACTTTATCAACAAATAATAAACTTGACGACAAAATGAAATAAGTTAAACTATATTTATATGTTACATAAATTAATCTTTGAATACTTTACAGATAAATTGTAGAAGTATTATATTATGAAATAAACAAGATACGCGATACAACTTAGGGTCTCTTAGTTTCTTTAAAGGGCCGGCAATGTACCTGTAATTAATTGCCCTGATGTTGCAGTTGTTCATGGCGGTCGTAACTTACCATCAGGTGAGCCGTACGCTCGTTTGCCTAATCTTGTATTTAAATGACTTAATAGGTACTTAAAATATATGTATGTACTTAGTGTTATAATTGTATGCATTAGAAATTGCCAAAAATATACGTACGAATATTGATTGTCTTATCAAATGTTGAGAATTAGAAGAGAGCACGTAGCAGGTGATGAGGAGTGACGTGGTAAGTAGACACGCCGAAGCTGTGGTCAGAAATCCGTGGAATGCCGACCCCATAGCGCTGGCTTCGGTCATTCCGTACTTCACGAGCAGACTTTGACATAGTCCACCTAGCATCTGTAATTGGAAAAAAATACAAAAACACAAATATTTTGATAAAATGTTTGCAAATTTACTCCTTCTCATAAAACAGCATATTTGAGCACGTTAATCTTATCCCGGATTAGGCTAGCCACCGTTGGGATTGGCGGCCGTGACCCAAATGGACCTTTTGAGTGTGTGTAAAACTTCTTTTTCTTTATGTATGTACCTATATATATATATATATATTGTTACGAGCTTGAGGTACACTTTGATTTTCTTTACACAAATTAAAACTTAAAACACCAATAATTAATCACACTGATTCACTTTATTCCGCTCCGAAGCTTCGCTTGTCTCCTTTATGTCCTCTGCCGCCCGCTTTCTCTTCTCCACCGACCAAGGCCAAAGTTCGAGGGGCCCAGAGTATTCTTCGATACTAGATGGCGCTGGCAGTTGAGATTAGTGATGTCATTTTCTGAAAAGCTCTCTCCTCGCTCTATTACCCGATACTAGATGGCGCGTCAGATGTCAACTTAGCCGCGCAACAATATATATATATATATATATATATATATATATAATTGACTTATATATTTTGATATATATGTGTGTTTATATATGCATATAAAATGTATAATATATACATATTTACATATACAAATATAAAAGTCACAAAACATGTACTTTAAAATGAATTTACAATTGTATTCACTTTAAACGTTGAATATTTAATGTATTGAACAAAATATTAATTCGTAAAATTGTTCAAAATGAAATAAAAATACGAAAAATAACTGGCTATGAGAGAAAGAGAGAAAGAAAATATGCGCGTGCACTGCTCTCTCTCTCTCTCTCTCTCTCTCTTGCTTATATCCCCCACTCAACTCCCGTTCGCCTCACCCGATCACACTTTTCGTAACGCTTTCGTCACGCGTTCGCCAGCTTACTCCCCAAGTCAAGCGTGCATAAGAAGTTTTGCTTCAAAAATGATGATACGGGAGCAGCTGCTACTGTTGCATTAGGCAACAGCTAGTTACGCACCCTAGCGTAGTTACACAACAACGCGCTAGATGTATAGGTGTTAACAGTGTTAACACCTATACATCTAGCATAGGCAAGATGGTGTCGTTTTCTAACGACGAACTCGCAGATTTCCTGCGTCAAGCCTTCCCAGACATTTGAACGGCGTTTTTTGGGCAACACAAGACACGCCGATTTGTCATGAGGAAACACCCTCTCTCTCTCTTCCCTCCATCACAGTCTCACCGGCTTCATTCACATCGGTGAACGACGCTGCTTCCCCCGCGCCATCCGCGATGTCAACCCGCGCCTCTTCTCCAGTCTTCTCGGATGCCAACTTTGGCTCCGACATGGAGACTGAGAAGCGCGCCCATCTAAGCTCGAAGCCGAAGGCTTCACCTTCGTCCAGGGCAAAAAGCCAACAAGCCCAACACCAAAAAAATCATACGAGACTAACTTGGCGCCCCCGTCTGTTATTACTGTTTGCTGTTCACTTTGTAATAACGGTATAAGGATATCCACTATCTCATATCATCCCTTGGGTGTCGTAATAAATAATACAGGGAAACAGATCAGGAAAAGGGCAGAAGCGTCCCCATAATAAAACAAAAAAATAAATTGAAAAACAGCGGTTGCAAACTCAACTGCTAAGCATGGCGACTATGAAAATCCCCACAGTTAGACAATTTGAACCTCAGATGTGGACTTTTGATATACTGTAACGGTAACGTATATAGAAACTTCTTTTTGTGACTCAGAAGCATTGTTAGTCTGCCATTTTCGGAGGTGCCATATGATTAGAAATTCTATGTCCGGGACACGGAGATAATCAAAAAATGAAATGTCTGAAACTAAAATCTAAAAACCTGCGCATAGTAAATTGTAAATTTTAGATTATAATTTTAGGTTGTACCGGGTTTTGAATGGAACTACGAGTAACTCAACTGACAAACATACTGGACTAACTCTACATCTAACCGTGTAACACAATTTTTGTGAGCCGTTCTTGAGTAATTCATAACGTAAATTTTATTTCCTATTTTTAATACGAAAACTTGAAATAGCATTTATTGATCATATTTGTCTTAACATGGTAGAAAAAGGCTGCAACATATTATGTCCGCACTGCAGTATGAATGGGTCGATCGAGGAAGGTCCGCGTTCGCACAGAATGCCAACTAATAATAGCTAATTTTGGTGCGTTTCCGTTCGTATCGTTCGTTCGTATGGCCAGCCTAAAGAACCGGAGACTATTGACTGATAACGAGGCATTCTATTGTCGTCATCAAGGGCGACAACGATTTTGATTCTTAAATGAGGATAGACGTCTATGGGCCACTTCATTCACTTACCATCAGGTGGATTGTGTGCTTGCTTATCAACCTTACTTCTATAACCAAAAAATTTACTTCAATTAGACCTGTAATACAGGTTTTTTATACCTACACCAGGTACCAGCCTCTCACAACTTACGTACCAATCTGGCACTTTTGTAATACTTAGTGCTAAGAATACCTATTTTGAAAAGATAATAAATGGATTCATTCATTAATTCATTCAATTAGCAAGTGAGTGTTCAATACTTACAGCTTCAGATAATTTGATGATTCCATGTTGAGATGTCAGATATCCCAAATTGAGGCATTCGCAGCAGCGGCAGCAGCAGCACTTGATGCCTCTCCCACTGTCACCGGTGGTGGGTGCTACACGCACAATCGTTGGTCCACGAGTCATTGTTTTGTTCACTTTAAACACAACGTTGTTTTCGTATGGATTCGAATGTTGAACTAGACTTAAACACGCAACTAATCAGGAAGAGTAAGAATTCATAACCCAACGGGAAATTCAGGATGGTGAATGTATTTAACAATTTACACGGACGATGTTAGTCGTGACCAATATTTTTAGTTTAAAGTTCGCGTACCCAGTTAGAGGCCGACGACCTCAATGTTTATATGGGTTTATGAATGTAAGTACGACCAAAAAAAGTATTTTGTAATGTTATTTCTTCTTGTTGTAAATTTATTATTTGAAATAAATATATTTTACTTAATACAGAAAAGAAGCGTCGTGACTATACAAGGGTTTTGTTTGAATGTTTCATGCCCCGGTGCGTGGACGCATGCCCCAAAAATAGAGCGGCGCACGCGTCGCGGAGGGTGCTCTCTATTTTTAGTTTATTGTTTATTAGGTCAAAAATGTACACTCACCGGGTCTCGCGTTTTGCTAAAAATTTAAAAATGTATCAAAACTGAAGAAGTTTACAATTTCAACTACGGCAATTACTTTCATAATATATTGACCGAAATATAGTCACCAGCACACGAAGCACCAGCACACAAGTATACAACGGCATATTTAAGTAAAAAAAGAATCTAAGAATTACGAAACAAAAATGCAGCTTTTAAATTTACAAAAATTGCATATTGTCTAAAGTCTAAACGAACCAATATAAAATAAATTTAAGCAAAACTGATTTTTAATTTCTTATTCAGTTATTTTTTTAAATAACGCAATCGCCTTACTCTGTATGAACATTTATGAATTTGACAGCTTATATCCAACCAAGGGCTGATTTTCCAATCATTAGCTAAAGTTTATTCATAAGATAAAGTACCTAGGCTGCACTAAAAGTATCGGGAATGGAATATTTCCACTGTTCCTGTCATATTAAAATCTTTTTAATTGAAAACTCCTTGGTTTTAAAAATCTAATACCATTTATTTATTTAAAAAAAGATTCTCGGTCTTGTCACAAGGTTTTGTCAAACTTGTTTAGTCGTTGAGAAAATGGAATTGACTCGAGAAAATTCAAGAGCGATGATTTATTATGACTTTCGAAGTGGTTTAACACAAAAACAGTGTGTTGACCGGATGATTTCTGCATTTGGTGATGAAGCCCCATCCAAAACCACAATTTATCGCTGGTTTGCTGAATTTCAACGTGGACGTGTCGAGCTCAGTGATGGTCCCCGTCAAGGTCGTACAAAAACTGCAGTCACCCAAGAAAACGTTGATGCTGTGCGTAAGCTGATTGAGGAAAGATCGACATGTGACATACCGCGAAATTCAGGCAACTTTAGACATTGGCATGAGTCAAATACAAATAATCTTTCATGAACAATTAGGTGTAAAAAAGTTGTTTTCCCGATGGATACCGCATTCGCTCTGTGAAGAGCAAAAAGCGGCTCGCGTTACTTGGTGCGTCAGAACTCTCGAAAGATTCCACGCAGGATCCTCAAAGTTGTATATACAACATCGTATGAGGTGACGAATCCTGGATATACGTATATATATATATATATATATATATGCGAACCCTAAACACAAAACCAGTCACGAGTTTGGGTGTTCGAAAATGAGTTAAAGCCAACAAAAATTGTTCGTTCACGGAGTGTTGCAAAAAAAAATGGTGGCCACGTTTGTCTCCAAATCCAGCCATGTTACGACTATTTCTCTTGAGGGACAAAGAACGATTAATGCAGAATGGTATGCTAGAATTTGTTTGCCACAGGTCGTTTCTGAACTCCGTAAAGAGAACTGCAACCGCCGCATCATCTTCCATCACGACAATGCGAGTTCTGACACCGCACACAGAACAAAAGTGTTTTTAGAGCAAGAAAACATATAATTATTAGACTATCCGCCGTACAGCCCCAACCTAAGCCCTAATGATTTCTATACCTTCCCTAAAATAAAGAATAAATTGCGTGGACAGAGATTTTCATCACCTGAAGAAGCTGTGGACGCCTACAAAACGGCCATTTTGGAGACCCCAACTTCCGAATGGTGGTTGCTTCAATGATTGGTTCCATCGTATGGAAAAATGTGTCAAATTTCGCGGAGAATACTTCGAAAAGCAATAAATATATATTTAAATAGTAATATTGTGTCACTTCCTTGATTCCCGAAATTTTCAGTGCCGCCCTCGTATAACACATTAAATTAATCAAAACAGACTACTACTAATAAATATATATTCAGTCAGTTTATGTTTTTTGTGGATAACTTTAATCTGATAATTGCTAAATCAGTCCTTAGCATGCTAGGAATAATGTTAACTCCAGTTTTAGAGATAGGTTCTAACATTCTTAGTAAGGGTATATCAAAACTCATCTTAGATTCTAGATTTTTCGTTTAGTTTCTAAATGTGCTTTATTGGATCTCTCACTTACTGTTGTTTTCAACTTGATTTTAAATGACTAACTGGCTCTGAAAGCCATTTATAACATATCTCTAGGAGAGACAAGTACTAACTAACCAAAATGAAGTATACAGTTTCGATATGGATAACGAGATTGCGAGACCTCCTTAGATAGAGAGACAAACGGTGTAGTGACCCATCTAGCGCGTTTTCTGAACAGTCGTAAGGGTAATGGGTACAGAACACTTACTCCTAGCAGAGATGTAATGGGTCGCACTCACATACCTAAAAAGTGTCGCTGCTCTCATAGAGTACTACATACCCGCCCTCCTACTAGTACGTGCAATAATAGTACTACAAGAACACCAAACGCTACCACTTCACCAATTATCACCACCACCACATCCCCGATAATTCAAAAACAAACAAAGCACAGAAGTGCCATCGCAGTCGGTTTAGATTTTATCGTAATTCCTCATTGATTGCATAAAACACGTGTGTCGTACACAACTTAGATGGTGATATATGCCTTTTAAGTTATGTCGTTTGACCAAAAAATACAACTAGAACCTTATAATACTTTTAATTGTTGTTTAAAGTATTCACCACACATTTTATTATACTTTTCCATTCGCTCGAACCAGTTATTAAAACATTTATAATAAATAAATTTAATAAATTTATTTACAAGAAATATGGTACAAAGATGTTATACTACTCCAAAGTTGGGGTGTTCAATATGGCTGTTTTGAAAGCGTCGACAGCTTCTTCACCGGACTGGAACACGAAGATCTTTCTTAGTTTTAGGAAATATTAAAAAATTGTTCATAGGTCAGGACTGTATGGAGGATGGTCAAGAATGTCGTTTTTCTGCTTCAAATATTCAATCGTTTGACCTGCATGTGGATTTTAATAATGATGCATATAATTATCGTCTGTTATTATTATTATTATTTAGAGTATTATTGCATGCCTTAAGCGCAAAGCTCGTAGGAATGTTCTACTAACGCCTAAAAATCAAAAATCCAACGTTTTTTCGCATGAAATCGTATCTAAAAATCAAATTGAACATATAAATGATATAAAATGCACATTATCAGAAAGATAAATCATTGTTGAACTTACTTTTTTTAATCCATTAATTGCTATTTTTACAATTAAGAAAGTGATTTTAGTAGCATAAGGTTATGTACGTTATAGTATGAATATTTATCTAGTCCGCATAGAGGAGAAAACACGATAACTTTTGAAAATATCAATTGTTCAACTCAATATATTTTTTAATCTCTTCATCATCATGTGGGAAGGTAAATGGTTGTTTAATTATGTTTTGTTTAGTTATAATTTTTTTTCGACTAAGAAATTCTGAAATTTTCGATATTTGAGCATCCTTGTAATAATATATTTTACTAAATACAGATACACTTTGACTCATTCCGAATATGGCCGCCGTCGTGAGTGGGTTACTGTATTGTTTGTTTACAGCGACTCGTGATGAAAAATATAGATCGCTATAGAAATTCAAAATATTCCAAAAATCAAATTTTAATACATAGACTTGACCAAGGTAAGATTATTATTATTTTATAATCACAGACTTTCATTACAATATTTTGTTTCGCTAAAAGTACGTAGGATTTATATATAAATATACTTATACGTCTTGGACTTTATGGAGTGACCTGAAGGTGTACTTCAGTATGTGCTACTGGAACTCCTCGAAAAGTAGAAATAGGTGTGCCGAGTTTAGCTTCGTTTTATTAGTTATGATGAGATCTTACCTCCGGACTTGATAGAGTGATCTTAAGGTGTACATTGGTGAATGCTAAATTAAAATACTGGTTATGACTTGATGAAAAACCTTTTTGAAAACGAAACAAAGTTGATGAGAAAAAAAATTATTAATGAGTCAGGTAAAAAAGACTACGACTACTTAAAATAATGCCCGAGTACAAATATTTAAAAATTATAGTAATATTAAAGTTGATTTCCGGTCGTTTTAAGATAATTCTGTTAAAAGTTTTTTCAATTAACAATAATAAAAAATTGAATCTCAATAATATATACAAAATAATATATAACATAATAAAATTAAAAAAATGTTTTCTATTGTTGATTTTAAACAAAAATCTACATTTTTTCATGATCATAATATGTTTCTGTATCTTATTATGTGACATAAATCGATATATAACAAATGCATTTGTAGGAAATAATGTGATAGTTATAGATATTGTGATTAAAAATAGTGCAAACATATTTCGCCAGTGGCAAGACGAGAAGATCTAAAAACCAAACATTATTTATATTTTAATATTTAGTAATTTGGCGCAATAACGACACCTTATTCTATTTGTTGCTTGCTTTTTTCAAGGACATCTTCTACCTGGGAGTCCAAATAGGTAGGTTAGGTTACTATTATACATTATTATTTTCACCTCCTCTTACCCATTCGTGCCACCATTTAACAGTGCTTACAGCTGTGTTCCAGTCTGTCTGGTATAGAAAGCCAGTATAACTACAGGTTTAGAGGCATTTCATCTTAGCCCTCAATGACAACGCATCTTCGGTCTTCTTTGTTAGAGGTTGGTCGCGGGTATCCATGGACGCCACTTGCTATCAAGTGGGTTGTGAGTTCGTTTGTCAAGTCAGATTTATAAACAAATGGAAAAATTAAAAATTTGGCACAACCGACTTCAATATAAATAAAATGAGAACATCATCAATGTAGTTGAAGTCAATTAAATACGCATTATTAAGAATAACTCAAATATTACCGGTCAGATCTTGCTCAAATTTATATGGGTCCTTGAGATGTAACCATAAGATGAGAAGCACCAACTTTCAAATAAAAAAGAATCGCAATAGTCGGTTCACCTAGAAAAAAGCTCTGAGGTAACATATTATATAAAAATACATTCGAATTGAGAACCTCCTCCTTTTCTTGAAGTCGGTTGAAAAGAGTCATTATTTGATGCAAATAAACTTTTGCTATTTTGATGATTTTTGATTTTCATTAGGACAATAATTTTGTTATAAAAGTAAAAAGTAAAGTTACAGCCTACTGCTGGGCACAGATCTCCCCTCATTTCTGAGAGAGTAATAATATACACAATATACTTGTTACTAAATAAAATTCTTTATAAGTATAAAATTACGAATTTAATTGTAAAAAATACATCAAAAACATACAAGTACTAAACGTTCATTCTACAATAAATATTATATTTACTTCAATCGTTACCGTAATGCTTTCTTGTCAAAATGGATTTACAATCTGGTAATAACATTTTAATAAGTTAGTTTTATATAAACATCAGGAAAATATCATATAAATGTAGATATCTATATATTGGCAATTCGGAAGTTTGCATGTTTGTATAAAATTAAATGCATTAATGTATCAAAATCCTTAATATTATCTCATCATTTTCTACATTCTATGCAATAACATACACAATATTCTTCATTTAGAGAATGCATTTAAAAAAATCCTGGCATAATTGGTACAATCAAATGCAAATCTAATAAGAATTAACAATTCTTAGTGCAATTTTAACATAATATACTTTGTTATGAAATTATACTAGGTACCTACATTATAGGTACCTAGTAAAATTTCATAACAAAGTAATAAAAGAATTGCTTGGCAATTGGCATTTAGAATAAGTATGTACATTTGAAGCAAAATAGATTTATATTGTGGCATAGGCCTTTCTAAGTAAAGACATATACAAGTTCAGATAGTACGCCATATCAGAGCTACATTTTATATTAGTTCTTCTTCACATTACTTTACTTCTTCACGTAGAAGGGAAGTTTTACTACAACCCTCACGCCTGGCAGGCAGATTCACGTCCGCTTTACCAGATGTCTCGCAGTAATGTGATCATTAAATATAAATATTGTTTAACTCAAACAAATATTTCTAAAGACATTTATTTTCAATTATTACGGCCAAGAAATAGAATAATTTTTGTTCTTTACTGAGATATAAACATATTATACGTTTTTCTCTTCAACATCTAATTGTTTTGAAATTGTTTTCAAAGTTGTCTAACCATATTAAAATAAAATATACTAGATACTTCTAGAACAATCGGTTTCGATAAAACGACTAAAACACGTCTTATTATTGAAATGTAGATATTATTAGAAATACTATGACTTAAACATATACATGTATATAATTACATCAAAGTAACCACAGGCTACATTCTCTAACGATAATAAAACAATATAAAAATTTACAGGTTTTTCTTTAAATTTGAATGTACTTTTTCTTAGCTGTAATGTTGTCTGACTCTTATAGCTCTACACGATCGTCTCTCTGGTATATAGGTATTACGAGTATCTATGCGTCTAACTGTCTAACTCCAAACGTTCGCCGAACTTGATACCGGGTTCAGGCTAATTGAATAAGTAAACGAATGACAGCGAGGGCAATGAAACAAACGCAGACGAGTGGGTGTGGTGTGTATAGAGACCATTTGTCCTGACATTGAATAAAACTAATTTTACGGATTCTATAGCGTTCAATTGTACTTATTGTTAATTAACGACGTTGCCAGCGATAAAATCCATAAAAGTATAGTTTTATTTAATGTATATATAAGAAATAATTCTGTTCTAACATGTCAGGACTTTTAGACTTTCTTCAGGATTGCGGTTGGATTTTGGAAAGGTCAGGATTTTTCGATTTTTCAATAAAATACCGTAACAGTTTTTACGTAGAAATAATGTAATCTGCGACGTGGATTGACCGCGAGAATGTACAAAACCATATAATTAATAAAAAAATTACGCTTGATAATTGCAACAAAATGTCAGGACTTTTCTATGTAAATTAGGTTATGTGTCAGGACTTTTCAATTTTCGATGTGGACGATTCTCCGAAGCGAGTGAATGCGTTCCAAGGGCTTCGCTCAGATTTGGCTGTTCTTGACCGTGAGTCGGTACATCGAAGGACAAAAAATAAAAGATGCAACATCAACAAAAAATTGTACAATGAATCAAAGGATTCAGTGTTAATGCATCTACATAATCAGGTTTACCTACATTTCAATTGCCTTTTTACTGGAAAATTTAAATCGCGGTGTACATCGGTGGATCTCTCGCTTGAACTCGCTCGCTTTCGTTCGATTGGCATGTACGCGGCACGTTCGAACTATAAGCTGTAGCTCTTATAGTTGGCGCAAAATTGAAAAAAAAATTGATGTAAAACGGTGGAAGTAGAGGGCTGATTCGTCCGAGTTGGTCAACTCTACCATACTCCTTTGTCATGGTGACAATTTACCGCTGCCATCTTATCAACGAACCTCTCCTTCTAGTGTAGTGTTTATGAATCCGTATAGAAACGCACTGAAATTGATGACGTGGTTTCTTTAAAAAAATTACCTGATCCATCATGAATCACCCAGTACTGTGATTGTTATAAATAATTAAATATTATTAAAGCTAAAATTAAGTTACAGATAATTTTTTTAACTAAAATCATATTTTTTTATAATTGTGCTCAGAAATATAGCACGTTAGAGTAATATGGTCATCCGGTTAGTACGGTCACTTTCTTATAACTCAAAAACTACAGCCTTATTATATTTGCATAAATGGATCTGTGATACGATAGCTCTTCATCGGTCAATCAAATAATAAAAGGTCAAAAGGGCTCTGCCTTATCGACGCCATTTTGACAGTTGATATTATACTAAATATTTTAGTCAATTTCAGTATTGTATTGTGTAGTTAGTTCTTTTTAAGTTGATTTTCCGAAGTGTTCCTACTTATTGCCAAAGCTTGTTTGCTATTTTTTTTTCTTAATATTATATTAGTTATATTATACGACTTAGTGTTTTTGTTACTGTCCACCTGCTAGTTTTTGGTTATATAAGGCGGCAAAGCTTAAAGTGAACATATTACCCTCAAGTACCTTATACTTTGACTTATATAACTAAATTTGAAATACATTACATACATCTTCAACGACTAGACACGAGCGAGTGCACATTAGCTAAGCTTTCTGAACTCCTGCGTTAACAAATAATATAATGTCGTATAGCCAAATACCGCTAGAAGTATTCTCGGCTGGAAGCTCCGTGTATATAATATCAAAAATTCTAAGCCAATTTAATTTAAATACCACGGTAGGTACGATTCGCCAGGAAGGTACTTAGCAAGTACAATCCCGCCATTACGAGGCCCATCACCTGTAAAAAGAAAGAATACACAATTTATAAATTTATAATACATACATATTTGCTTTGTCTATATTACCAACACCATTTCAAGCAAACCAAGAAAACTTCATTTAAATCGCACAGTGGTGGAAAGTCAGTAAAGTTTAGCGGCCGGAATTACTCCGAATAATTCCTTTGAACACTCTTCGTGATAAATGCGATAGAATACGCAAAAAGATGCAATGTCTCTTCACAGAGCAAGTAAGTCAAGTACATTATAACAGGTCAAGACATCAACGATTCGAGCCGCTCTGCGCTCGATGTGGTAAATTGGAAGGAGCTAGAAGAGTGAAGAGCCAACAATAGGGTTCCCCGGGCCAGAGATGAGAACAGTATTCCAATGTGAGGTGCATCATCGAGTGGCTTTTATCCCTAACGGATTTGTAAACCCTATCATACCCTAATTTTAATGAAACACAGTTGGAAAAAAAACTTTTTAAGAATAACTAGAGTAATTGGTGTTTCACTACCATATAAACCAAACATTTTGTAGCATCTGACATTGGTTCTGCTAACACAGTGAAACAGACTCCTAAATCTTACATATTTATCTTAAAACTTTGTCTCAAACACATTTTTCTTAAATCTTTCTCTCATGAACCTAATACATTCCATTAATAAGTGCTGAATATGTGCCTACATACTTCACAGTTAGAGGAATTATCTTCCATCATTAAAAGAGCAAACTTAGCTTGCAGCTTGTAAAGTTGCAAGCGGTGTGCCGGCATGAAATACTGTCCCTCTCTATTAAACACGGCAAGCGTTTTGAGGCCAATTTAGCCGTCTCTTCCACGTGTCTGCAGAACCGAAAGTCATTCGATATGCCATCGCCGAGGGTTCCGATGTTGGCTGAAGCAACAAAGGTAGTGCCTCGAAATTGAGGATATACAACGAACGAGGTTCTTCCAGCAGTAAACACGATAACTTGTGTCTTCTAGGGATTTATCTAGACTAAATTTTGTCACCCCAATCCAAGACTTTGTTTAACAGACTCAACTTCAGGAAAGAGGTTGTTCTGGCGCTCGACAAATTGTTACCGCGAAGTATTAGCACGGCCGGTGGATAAAGAACCACCAGTGCTGTCATCTGCATAACCAAAAATCAGGAACCAGGAACGGTTTGCAACATATCATTAATATAGATATAGAAGGAACAGAGTGGGCACACGTAGCCTTGTGGAACACCAGCATTCACAGACTTGAAGTTGGAGCACGCTATGTTGACTACGACCTTAATGCTCTAATCTGCGACAAAATTGGTAGCACAATTGCATTATATCTCGGGAAGCTCATAAGAGGGAACTTTTGAAAAAAGTGCTTTACGCCAAACTCGATCGAAGGCCTGCGCTATGTCCAAACTAACCGCCAGACTTCGAAAACAAAGAGGTTATGGTAAGAGGCCTGTAGTTGGTAGAAAATTAAAGAAGTTAAATCACATGGACTCAACAGTATACTGCAGTGCGTTTTTTAATTCTTTTGTGAATCGTGGTTACCATAGTTGTGATGTTACTTCCATTACAACTATTAAAAAATCACCGCAGAACTTAGACATGACCCTTAGATAGCCTCACAATAATTTTGAGTTATTACCGGAAAGATTTTGTTGCCAATCTACTGTTCCAGTTTCCCCCTGTCACCTCGTACAACAAAAATGGAACAATATGAAGTAGTGGATATTCTTTCACCGCCACTACACGGTTTCAGTTTGATGTTTGGTTTTGAATAAATGTATCAGTTACGTACTCATTTTCACAGAAGCATACAATTTTGTGTTGGTTTTTAAATGGTTTTAATGGTTAATGGTTTTTAAATATTAGCTCTTCAAATGGTATCAAAACCATACAAGTGCAAAGAGAAAAGAGTACCACCAAAGAGATTTATATCTGGATCTATCACTAGCACCACCTACTGGTTCCAATTGTGAATCTAAACCATCCAGGGATCAAACACACACAAAAACATTCATCAACATCGGTCCAGCCGTTGAGGAGGAGTTTAGTGACATACACACGTTCAGAAGAGTTATATCTTAATATATATAAATTACGTGTCACGTTGTTTGTCCGCGATGGACTCCTAAACTACTTAACCGATTTTAATAAAATTTGCACACTGTATGCAGTTTGGTCAAACTTGAGAGATAGGATAGTTCTTTGCCCATGAGTGACACACAATTTTTTTTTTTGAGAATTTAAGGGTTTTTAATGGGACATGACAAAGGGTCGTCGAAAAAGGCAGAACAACGTCGCCTGGCAAACTAGTACATATAAAGATAAAACAAAATTTTTATACAAAATTTGTAATCCAAAACCTTACTTACCGCAGCAGCCAAGTACGGGTCGTAATCATTACGATAACTACTTTTTTGATGATTAACCTCAATAATGAGAGTGAGGCCCGCCGCTAAGTATAAAATAAACGCCACGCCGTGATAGATCACCTCCTGGAATATTGAAAATCACAATTAACCTATTACTTACGCTATCAATGTTATGAATAGGCAATATAATTTACAACTGAAGCAGTTAGCCAGTAATTTATGATAAAAATACGTGATATAGCCATTTCATACGTGGTAGAGCCACTTCATATATTATGGTAGAGTCATACTGCTACTACATTATGGCTGCAGCATGAATAGGTCGGCCCGACCGGGAAAAGATCATGCTCTCACATAGGACTGCCATCCGTCCGGATTTTCCCGGATTTGTCCTAGTTTGGAAGACGTCCGGGGAGCGTCCGGGCGGGGTGTAAATTGTAGTCCGGGTGCAACCCGTACTACAATAAAAGTCCGGGTTTTCGATCACATCCCGTTCCCATAAATTATGTAAATAAAAGCTATGGGTTAGGTATTTCACCGTAAACTATGTAGGTATATGTAGTTTTCTTATTAATTTTAATTAGTTACATAGTTCTATGAATATAAACAACAAATTGTGTTTTGCTTTTCTGCAATATATAGAAATAAACATGTGGGATTGGTAAAAAAGTTTCAATTTATGTTTTTTTAAGTTTTAGTTCTGATTATAGTCTATTTTAAAATTTGAGGACATTTTGATGTTATTAAAATACTTTAAGAATTACCAAAACATTAAAAGCATTATTTGACATAAATAAATACAAATTAAAGACTGGTTTAATTTAGTTAAATAGAGAACTAGGTACAGTACTTGTTTAAGTGTTTATTTATTTAGGTACATTAAGTGTTACCAAAAACTTAAAATTAATAATATAGTAACTTTAAGTGTTGCCAAATAACTAAGAAGTATCGTTTTATTTTAGTTACAAATATCTATGAACGAAAACAACAATTTGTGTTTCGTTTCTTGTAATATGAAGAAATAAAGATGTAAGGCTGTTAAAATTGTTCCTTAGTATAAGTTATTATAACTTTCTGAATTTGATTTAAGATTTAAGTTTCTTTTAAAACTAAAGTAAACATGATTAATTGTATGCAAAAATAAAAAGTTAAACAAGTTTTCATTTAATTTTATTAACTGAGTAACTAATATTGCGTTTGTTTATCTTTTATTCAATACTTAGAAGGTTAAAAATAAATCAAAATTACTCACTTGTCGTCACAAGAACGATTAAACACACTATTGCATGCAACAAAAGAGGCTTAAAATTAAAGTTTTCTTCTATCAAGTATGGAGTAAAATATATTTTAATCAAGATGTAAGTGAATGAAAAAAGTATTGAAATGTCCGGGGTGAAAGCTCCAAAATTCTGGGGAACTTACGCTGCCGGTCCTGGGGGGCAGGTTTTAGAGATGGCAGCCCTACTCTCACAGAATGCCAATGGGAAGTAGCAACTCAGTGGCTGTGTTTCCTATGGAGAACCTAAGCCGGAGACTGGCCCTTTTTACTGGAAAGGATATTTGTTAGTCTCCAGAGTTGAAAACGCATGTGCATTTTTATTCTTAATCAGGGATAGATGTAGATTACTATAGGCCACAACATCCACTTTTTTAATAGAATAAGATTGACAAATGAGCACTCAGTACACCTGATGGTTTCCATTATGTGGAACTCCATCTATCCTTCTTATATGAATCAAAATTCAAATGTGTTTCCACCCTTGAGAAATATAATGGATTGCCTCGTTTCCAATAAAAAAAGTTTCTCCGGATCTCCACACTCACAGCATGATAGTTTGTCAGCCTTATTCTATAAAAAAATTGAAGTTTTTAATTGTGATGGCAGCGTAGGAGAAACCATCTCCAACCAATTCCATCTCGTGCCGGAACTTTGGGTGCGCGAAACTAACGAACTAACTAAGCAAACTGTGGGATACCTCAAAAAATCTACTGACAACCTATCTATCGCCCGCGCTATTATAGTAGATGCGGAAGAAGGGTGGTAGCGATTAAATCAATACATCCTGACGATAGAGGCCCATGTCCAGAAGTGGGCCGTTGCGGGTTGATGTAGAAGAAAAATAAATTACTATGCAACATCGTTATAACCAAGTCAATATTAATTATCAAACAACAAAGATATGAGCCAGATGAACTGGTTATTATTATAATAATAGACACGTTGCAATATAAAAATACTTCGCATCTGCAATTCCCCAGGTGTTGCGGGTGTTCATAATGCGGCCGTAGTCACCATCAGGTGAGCTGCATGTTCGTTTACTCTCTCACATAAAAAATATTAATCTCCCAAATCTGTCTTTTATTTGAAACGGCAAGAGTTCTACAGCATTTTCTTAAATCAATATTAACCTCATAGGACCAATTATTTTGCATAAACACTTTGTATCTTGAATATTAATATGTAAATGATTTAGCACGGTATCTAACAATATAGTGCATATTTAAACCCACCTTACTCCATTAAAATATCTTTAGACTAAGTAATGGTAAGTAAAATCATACGGAATGAATAAATGAACTCAAAAATAAATGTTACTTGAATATTATGATACTTACGTAAACAGTTTTTGATATCATGGTGGCTGTGGTCAGTGACACAAGGCAAGAGGTGAGCAGACAGAAGGTGCCCACGAGACAGGCTACCGACACTAAGAAATAAAAGAGTTCAGGTTTTTGACCATTGTAACGATAGAAACCTGGCTCCAGGTAGTACCCGACCACACCGACGCAAGCTGCTCCCAACAACTGAAATAGAAATTATTTAACTATTATTACCTATTCTCTTTTACCAAGAATCTACCTTATATTAAATGGCGATAGGTTCCTAGATAAAATATTAAGTCTACTCGTACTTATATAACATTATTGTTTTCCAAGTTTCGCATATTATTATTTTACAATCAAATGAAAGCTTTATCATTTGGATTAGGGCTTTAGAATTCTCATCCTATAAGGGTATCATCATCATCAGCCTACTTGGTCTGTGTATTTTACGTCTGAAGTATACGAGACGATTAGAGGAGGTATTTACTGCCATCTGTCAGAAACCATAAGGTTTTTCTGGCAGGCATTTCCTTTAATCACCTCTTACGACACCCACGGGACGAAATGGGGTGCTAGATGATTTTATATATTTACGCAAAATATAACTTCGCATTGAAAATTAATTTAACAGATTTTATCACAGTTAATTACATCTATTTAACTTAGTTTTGAATCCCGAAACCCGCAAGCAATTTTTGGCGTTCAATCTTACCGCGGGTTTTAACCTTTCAATCCCCACAAAATTTCCATGCACTCACCCACAGCACTTAAAACCATTAAAATTTATGTTTAGATACTACTTTTCTAGAAGTTGATGATGGTTATAAAATCTATACACAATTCTCTACCCGGTGGTCTAAACAATAGTCAGGTTTTACTTCATTACAAAAAGATTTTATTGTATTTTGATAACAAAAAAACACATACCAAGCGGATGTCGGCAGCGTGAAAATCACAATTATTTCTATATATTACTCGAAATTATTTACGTAAAAAGATAAATTATATTCACACAAAAACTTTAACATTTTTATAATAAAACACTAATAAATTACTAGAAAAATTCTAAAATCAACACAACAATATCCAAATTGAAAATGGCGTACGAAATGAACGTAGAATATAAATTAATATCCATAGACAAACTGTTTTTTATTCCACTAGAGGATATAAATTTTCATATTGATTCTATAATGCCAAACTTTTTCATAGAAAAGTAATCTCCAAACATAAGTATTTATGGATTAAAGTGCTGTGGGTGGGTGCGGTCAAATTTGACCTCTTGAATTTTGACGGAATATCGAAGCGGTCAAATTTGGATGCTTGGCGTTTGAGAGGTTAACCAGAAAACATAAACACACTCTTTTCAACGACGCTCCGGGAAGTCTGCAGTCTGTGAACACGTACAGGATCGCCCCCGTCACTACATCAGATTTGATAGACCGCAAATCCAACACTTACCATCAGGTGGACTGTGTGCTCGTTTGTCACCCTATTCTATATGAATCGCTAAAGAACACCGATTACTTCCAAGGATGATTCGCGAGGCTATTGAAATCAAAAAAACATCCTAATTTCAATAGAGAAGATGGCTGGGTGCTACCATCTGCTTGGGATCCTATAATAATTAAAATTAAATCCCAACCCAAGCATACAACTGCAAGACTTCAAGATACCATAAGTTCATACTGCATAGATCGGAACAAAAGTTAAATTTTAATCTATGGTAACCGCGGTTAAGTATGACATATGGACGTTGAACATCTCAGTCCCGCCCGTGACCATGAGTGCTGTAAAGCGTGACGGGTATTTAAAAAGTTAAATATACGCGATAAATTCCGTAAAAACTAGTACTATTTCAATATATTGGTACATTTCGATCGTGTGCAACTGATATTGAAATTTGATGAAAAAGTATGTGAATTCCACTAAGGCCCGGTTTACATTTCGAGAAGTGACAAGTACGAGTGACAACTGACAAGTGACAAAAGAGAAGTGACAAGTGCGTATTTTAAGGCCGGTTTACATTTTGAGAAGTGATAAGGCGTTTATTTGAGAGTGCAAGTGCGAGTGACAAATGACAAGTGACAAATAGCAAGTTGGTGTTCACACATGTGGCAAGTGGAAGTCATTATTATGCGAAATCTTCGAGTGTGAAATTGGGTTGGTAATTGTCAAAGTAGTATATAGCTATATGTATATACATAACTTTGAAGTTTAAAAATTTTAATCAAAAAAGGTAAAATTGTATGATGAGATACCAAAGATGTGGGAAGTGCCTTATTGCTAAGATATTGGTGCACGCCAATTAACCTAAAAACGCTTAAGTGAGAAAAATGTGTCTTAAAGATAAGAGGGAAAAAAATTTAAGCCTGAAAATAATATGGTTCCAGCCCCTGACCTACTGGAGTTTTTAATTTACTTCTTTTCTTTGTAATATGTAGACTTAATGCTTCTTAACTTCGCATATATACTTCTTTTGCGTCTCGCATCATTTTATTTTTTAAATTCGGTGATTTAATATTATATAAACATTCGTATTTCAATAATTCCTGGACATATTTAATGGTATTGCTATCTGACCACTTCACCATTGTTAAAAACAATAGCGTAATAAACCAAAATTATTATAAGTAGGTATATATATATATATATATATATATATATAATATATATATATTATATTTATATAACTATTAGAGTTATAATGTGTTATAATAGTTATTTAATAAAATATTTTTGTTACATATATTGTATACATACTCGTATTTATAGTAATTTTGTTTTATTACGAATTGGTCAGATTGCAATAATATTAAATTTGTCACGGAATTATTGAAACACGAATGTTTATACAATATTAAATCGCTGAATTAAAAAAAAATTAAATGATGCGAGACGCTGCTATGCCCTCAATATCTCAGGCAATGGGAATGGCCGGTTTCGGCGCAAAAGAAGTGGGTATATGCGAAGTTAAGAAGCTTTAAGTCTACATATTACCAAGAAAAAAAAAAATTAAAGACTCCAGCCGGACTAGCATGAGCCGGAGAGAATATATCCCCGGAGAGAGGATATAATTTTTATCCCTTGCTTAGTTTTATCCACCCTGCGAGCATGGGCAAGAGACAAAAATTATATCCCCCGATTATATCCACTGACAAGAGGTAAAATTATCTTATCTCTATAGTATATCCCCGTTTGACATAACGAGTGGACATATATCTCCCCGTCCGTAGCATGGGGCCAAGGGAAAGAGAAAAAATTATCCCTTTTTGACATTTCAAAGGGACAATTTTATCCTCTTTCGCGGACGTGGGTTTAAGTTTATCTTCATACCATTTTAATACAAAAAAGATGTCTCGAGCCTATTGCAACTACATTTTCGTGTCAGAAATTGAAAAACAAGAAATAGAATTACATCAGAGAGCGATACGTGATCAGAATACTTAATCTATTGGAATTCTCCGACAACGAATTTCTACGCCGGTTTCGGATGCTTAAAGATTGTTTTGTATTTGTGTAAAGAACTCTATGAGGCTTTAAAGCCTATTAATTCTGTGGATGGACTACCAGTGCATATTGAAGTAAGCATCTATTACAACCACCTTGTCCAAAAAAGTCTCAATAGCTCAATCATCATCATCAACAAGTCCACTGCTGAACATAGGCCTCCCCCAAGTAATGCCACAAAGCACGGTCCTGAGCCACCTGCATACATCGACTTCCTGCATGTCTTACCAGGTCGTCACTCCATCTAGTGGGGGTCGCCCTACACTACGCCTACCGGTACTACCGGTAATAGCTCGATGCCATGATTTAATTACATAGGTTGTGTCAACAATACCCAAAGCGAGGCCATGGTCAAGTCAAATTTAATGATAATAGAATCGGTCTATACTATATTTTAGGTAAGTATTATAACGTTTTAAAATAAAGTTATCAAACTTAGTAAAGTTACAATTCAAAGGTTTAAATTAAGAAATATGTTAATTCTTTAGCAAAGCTTGCTAAATATACCATACTCATGATTATAAAATTATTTATTCCTTGTTTTGTTTGAAATCATTACATTTTTATTCTTCATGCTTCATCATTTTCAATTAAAATTAAATCTTTGTGACTTAGAGTAGACATTAATTTTGATGTGTTTTGTAATTTTCTTATAATGGCAGTAATTGCGGGGATAAATTTTTTTTTAATTTCTTCAAGAGGTTACACCACCTCCAAAGGGTCTGTATTGTCCAGTTTCACAATTGGCTTAATTCTACACATATTTTTTAATAAATACTATCACAAGCGATTTGATACAAGCAATGTATATTTAACTTAAATATTATACAAAATAAAATAAAGAAAGAATTAGAATAATAGAAAAAATAAAAACAAGGCAGAAATACGCTTAAATTAAATATAACAAATATTATAAATGACATATTGTTTAACAAAAATTATGAACAGTTTAGCAATGTAATAAACAAAAGGTAAAAGAAAATATAAGTTAATGTAAATCTACTTAATCTTAAAACTAGTTTATAGCTAGTATAGTTTATAGCTTTATACTATGGTATATTATCTATGCGCGGGGATAAGTTTATCTACTGTCGATATTATATCCACCATAGGCCCATGCTCGCAGGGTGCATAAAGCTTTGACATAGGGATAAGACAATTTTATCCCCTGTCAGTGGATATAATCGGTGGATAAAATTTTTATCCCCTGCTCATGTTAGCCCGGCTGTAGGTCAGGGGCTGGAGCCGTATTATTTTCAGGCTTAAATTTTTTCCTTGTTATAACTTTAAGACACATTTTCTCACTTAAGCGTTTTTAGGAAATTGGTGTGCACCAATATCTTTGCAATAAGGCACTTCACACATCTTTGGTATCTCATTATACAATTGTACCTTTTTTTTTATTAAAGTTTTAAACTTTAAAGCTATGCTAGCGCCTCTTTGACAATTACCTACCCAATTTCACACTCGCAGATTTCACATAATAATGACATCCACTTGCCACATGTGTGAACACCAACTTGCTATTTGTCACTTGTCATTTGCCGCTCGCACTTGTCACTTCTCAAAATGTTAACGGGGCCTTAGGCCCGGTTTACATTTTGAGAAGTGACAAGTGCAGTCACAACTCAATAATGAGAAGTGACAGTGCGTATTCTATTCCCACTTATACTTGGCATTCCCTGTTCACA